GGGTCAAAATACGTCACAATACATCCATCAAGGCGGTTGCAAAGTGTCAGCAACTATGGATGAGATAAAAGACTTCGTTTACAGTTTGCGTGAATGGCTGGGAGAAAAATTCATGCAAATTCTGTGCTTCAGTAACAGTATTTGCTACTTTTTTGTGCAATGGAAATTAATACAAGAAATGCTGCCAAAAGACACATCCTTCTAGTAAACAAAACAACCTTGGGACGTTTATCTTGAGAAATTGAAAGGACAAAAATCCATTGGGACAGTCGTTGTGAAACAATAGACTTGCTTCGCCAGGGTATCAAGGTTATTTTGATTATTTGAAGATGGGAACTGCTGCTTTATGGAAGAGCAAATTTCAATGTCGTTGGCACAGTAATGACGTGTTTAGAGGGGTGACTCGCCAGAAGTATTCGCCGTGACTCCGGACTTTTCATTGGGGTTTATACAACACTTGCTTGTTACTATCAAAGACACTAGTGTTCTAGTGTCTTTGGTACTATCAAGAAGGTATAATGTCTTGTTTGTATTTGCACAATGTGAATGAGGGGTTTATTGTCAAAATATATACAGGTGCTTGTATGCCTATTGAAACTATACAAAATTCGACCAATGCACATCCGTTTCATGTGTTAAAAGAACATTGCGATGTTCTCATGGAATTGTTAAATCTTGGTATCATTCTCAACTGTACGGTTTGACGACTCCTATGCACTTCTGCGACTTGTAATAATTTTCTGGAAACTGTACAGCAAATCACATATTTTCATTATTAATTGTTCATAGTTTTTCTAAATTTCAGTTTTTATTGTTTTTATTATTTACAGTAATAACATATTTTTCCGATTGTGTGCATGACAGCTTTGCCCACACACAATAAGACACGATGATATGTACGGATATGTGTGAGTATGTTTCATGGATTAATAGGTCACTCCTTTGCTTCAATTCCAACTACATCTCTGGAAATATCACTTGCTGTTTTTATCATCCATATTTTGATATCCTCACAATGTGTATCTGGAAATTCTAACTACTATTTCGCAAAATTTGACCAGTCTTGCTTCTACGCAGCCAGTCATTTAAGTCAACTCCCATATTGTCCTTCACAGTGAAGGTTAATTCAGATATATTGTAAATTACACAGGGGTAACACTACAATATATTCCCCTTCACATTCCCATGTATTACATAACAATCTTTGAGCTGAGGCAGTTATGGTTCCACAACCATCACCAGTTCTCTTGTACAGACTGATTATAAGAGTAAACATGTACTACAGTCAAGGGTTGCTGACCTGTGCATGACGCAGAGAGTACACAGTAATTTTAAAAGTAGAATACGTTTCACCCAACACACAACATTTACATGCCCATCTATCCTCGATCGATGGACTGTGGACACATGTACAATTGAGATATTTGTGCACGTTTCATATAGCGATGCTTTATTGAAAACCCACTACAAATGCTGGTTTGTCGCTCTCAGGTAGGGAACTACGTTTGAAAGGTAGTACAAATGTCGGGGTGTTAACCCAAAGTAGGTAGACAGCTGCATCAGGCCAGGACATATTTTGAAGTGTTAATCCAAGCCAGGTAGACAATGCATAAGGCTAGTATAAATGTTTAAGTGCCATCCTAAAATAGGAGGTAGGTCAGTATAATCACGCTTATACAAGGAAACAAGGTCACACAGCAGTGAAAATGTCAGTCTCAAGGGGAGAAACGGGTACTAAATATCTAATGCTGACTCAAGCCATGGAACTATAAGGGTTTATAGTTCCATGCTCAAGCTTAGCAAAACAGGCGAGGTAAACGGTATGCAAATACTTATCGTAATGGATGAGCAAAATTTACCACGTTGATGGAACACATGGGGCCAACACTTTGTATTAAATCCAGTGGACAGAGCAGTCAGGTGTTATTTATTATTTATAAACAAGTCCAAACAACAAAACTTGGATACATGTGTTCGGGTAATTACAACGTACGTAGCGTCCCACTTAATTAAGCACGTGTTGTTATCGTCGGTTGGGACTCAATTCCCGCGCGTGCGCAGGTGACGACCTCTCCGCTTTAAGGTACAGATGCAGATTCGTGGGCACTTGAGAGTGATTGTTTTTAATTACCCAGACAGTCTTGGCGATAGACTGTTAACATTTCGCAGCATTGTGAATAGTGGAACATACTTTTTAAACAATTTTAAAATATGGAAAACATGTACATACGTTCTCTCTTTCGAATGCTTAGCAAGATTTTACAAGGCTGTACATAACTAATAAGAAAGAAACATGGAGAAAAAGTGATGACGGAATCTCCGTATTATGCACTAAATTTAACCTTTTACGAAACGATGATAGGTTTAAATTTGAGATTGTTACATCCATTTTAATTATGAGCATTAGCAACATTCCTTCCGAGTGAATGGTTATGCAAATTATCCATTATCTCCACTTGTGAATTATTTCAGTTTACCAGGGAAGTTCACATCTAAATAGCTCGCACAATTGTTGTTTGTTTCAAATGAAACTTTTACACTATGTTTGTTGGCTGTTTATTAACAAATGGGCGTCCAGGTGTATATATAGTATGTTTTGTTTTCATATTACAAAGTTGTCGAGCAGAACGTTTGCCGGTCAGTATTTCACACATTGTCTGAGAATGCAAAGCTTTAAAAATAAACCCAGATGTCCCTTTGTTCGTAAAGATGTCGTCGAAATAGTGTGAAAATTGAAATCAAACTGACAAAAACAGTGAGAGCTAATTAAGTTCCAATTTCTCTGACCATGGAGGTATAACACCGCCATGCTCTGACCAACCAGAAAACACGAACGGAGATAATGCCCGTTTTATGAGAAAATGGCTATCGCATCACGACTAAATGCTATTCAATCGTCACGTAAAAAAATAAAATGAAAATATTTACAATTCGGGGAAAACGGGCGAAAAATCGTCCGCGAAGTCACAACCTTGCGTGAAAACAGTCATGGCGTCGTGTTATCAATTGCACTGAATGAGGGGCACAATAAATTACGTAAAGCTGATGAGATATTCATAAATTCATATAAACATAGCAATAACCATTGGGTGGGCTGAGTCTGAATTTACCTTTCCTCAAACCTTTAAAAATATTTTGTACGACGCAGTTTTTCGCGATCCCCGGTGAAATGAACCGTGCGAAGTTCAACGCTATTCCTGTTTCAGTTAGACGACCCGGTTGAAATGAGCCGTAATATTTTGCTACACAACGGATATTCGCAGTTTTTTTTACTTCTCAATCGCCCAAACGCCAGTGAGAAAATGAAGTCACTTTGGAAGGGAAACTATTGTAAATCTAGGCAGGTTACATCCATCTACAGACGAGACAGGCGATACAAATGAGACGAACCCTGACCTCTGGCAA